GTGCGACAGGAATGTTACTTGCCACTTGTCAGCCCAAGCCTGGATATTGTCTTGTTGAATTCAAACATGAACTGCTTCAGTAACTGAGGAGTCACGAATAATGCTGAACGTTGTGCGACCATCGGCGAACATCTCCACTTCTAACCTTATGATTGAAGGAAGGTCATTGATGAAGCACCTGAAGATGGTTGGGCCGAAGACACTACCCTGAGGAGCTCCTGCAGAGGTGTCCTGGAGCTGGGATGATTGATCTGCAACAACCACGACAATCTTTCTATGTGTCAGGTATGACTCTAAACACTGGAGAGTTTGCCCCCGATACCCATTGATTCCAGTTTTGCTAGGGCTCCTTGATGCCATACCCGGTTGAATGCAGCCTTGATATCAAGGTCTGTCACTATCATGTCACCTCTGGAATTCAGCTCTTTTGTCCATGTTTGAACCAAGGCTGTAATGAGCTCAGGAGCTGAGTGGCCCTGGCAGAACCCAAACTGAACGTCACTGAGCAGGTTATTGCTGAGCAGGTGCTGCTCGATAGCACTGTTCATGACACCTTCCATCACTTTACTGATGATTGTGAGTAGACTGATGGGGCGGTAATTGGCCGGGTTGGATTCGTTCTGCTTTTTATATACAGGACATAATTGGGCAATTTTCCACATTGTTGGGTAGATACCAGTGTTGTAACTGTACTGGAACAGCTTGGCTAGGGGAGCGGCAAGTTTTGGAGCACAAGTCTTCAGTATATTGCTGGAATGTTGTCAGGGCCGGCAGCCTTTGCAGTATCCAGTGTCTCCAACCATTTCTTGATATCACGTGGAGTGAATCGAATTGGCTGAAGACTGGTATCTGTAATGCTGGGGGTCACTGGAGGAGGCCGAGATGGATCATCCACTTGGCACTTCTGGCTGAAGATTGCTGCGAATCCTTCAGCCTTATCTTTTGCACTGATGTGCTGGGCTGTTCCATCATTGAGGATGGGGATATTTGTGGAGTCTCCTCCTCCAGTGAGTTGTTAAATTGTCCACCACCATACATGACTGGATTTTGCAGGACCACAGAGCTTAGATCCAATCTGTTTGTTGTGGGTTCACTTAGCTCTGTCTATCACTTGCTGCTTATGCTGTTTGGTGTGCAAGCAGTCCTGTTTGGTGGCTTCACCAGGTTGACACCTCATCTCTAGGTATGCCTGGTGCTGTTCCTGGCATGCCCTCCTGCACTCTCCATTGAACCAGGGTTGATCCCCTGACTTAATGGTAATGGTTGATTGGAGGATATGCCAGGCCATAAGGTTACAGATTGTGCTGGGGTACAATTCTGCTGCTGTTGATGGCCCACAGCGCCTCATGGATGCCCAGTCTTGAGTTGCGAAGTCTGTCCCATTTAGCACAGTGATAGTGCCACACAACATGATGGAGGTTATTTTCAATGTGAAGGTGGGACTTTGTCTCCACAAGAACAGTGCAGTGGTTACTTTTACCAATGATTTCCCCTCATGATGGCTCCCTCACTACCTGCTGCAGTCTCAATCTAAGAGCTATGTCCTTTAGGACCTGACCAGCTCGATCAGTAATACTGCTGAGCTACTCTTGGTGGTGGACATTGAAATGCCTCACCCAGAGTACACTTTGTGCCTTTCCCATCCTCAGTGCTCCCCCCAAGTGTTGTTCAACATGGAGGAGTACCGATTCATCAGCTGAAGGAGGATGGTATGTGATAATCAGCAAGAGGTTTCCTTGCCCATTTTTAACATATTCAGCCCCTGTTCCCGATCTACTATTAATTTCCTCAGGATTTCTGGCAAGCTATCCTCTTTTTATACTGTAAATACTGAGACAAAGTAATTATTCATTATGTCTGTCAATTCTCCATAGTCATTGACAATAGCCCCACTTTCAATCGTTATTGGACCTATTGCTCCTAACTGTCCACTTTCATTTTATGTAACTATAAAATTTCTTCTGATTGACTTTGATGCCTCTGGCAAGTTAACTTTCATAATCCCTCTTACTATCTTTTATAAGCTGCTCTGTGGCCCTTTGCTGCTCTTTGTATCTTTCCCATTCAGCAAGATCTGTGCTGTTTCTTGCATTTTTGTAGGCCCTTTCTTTTAGTTTTCTCTTTTTAGTTGTCCATGTCTGTTTTGTTTTCTGTGAAGTGGAGCTTTTCCCTCTCAGGAATATAAGCTGGTTATGTATTGCGTTCAGTGCTTTTTTTAAACATTCTCCACTCTTATTAGTTGTTTTACCTGTTAGCTGATTTTCCTAGTTTACTGTGGACAATCTCTATCTCATCACATCAAAGTCCGCCTTGCCTAAATGTAGAACTCTAGCAGCTGAATCATACTTTTAACTTTCAAATGCTACATTGAAATTGACCATGTTATGATCACTGTTTGATAAATGTTCATGCATAATAAGGTTACTCATAATGTTTGGCTCATATTAAATACGATGTTGCTTGGCCCCTTGTTGCATCCAGGACGTTTGTTCTGGGAAACTATCATGGACACACTCTAGAAATTCATTATGTTTCTAACAGATGCTTACCTGCCTCTCCCAATCTATGTTAAAGTTAAAATACTCTAGCTTTGTTTCATTCTTGCCTAATTTCTGCATTTATACATTTTAGCACTTTAGTTCTGCTACCAGGGGCTCTGTAAACAACACCTATTACAGTTTTAGATCCTTTACTATTCCTCAGTTCCACTCATACAGTCTCCATTGAATGCTTTGCCCTCATTATATCCTCCCTCATCATTGTAGTAAATTTGTTTCTAATCAGTAAGTCTACTCCATCTTCTCCACCGTATTCCCTATCTAACCAGTAAACCTGATGACCTGGAATACTTAGGTCCCAATCCTGACCATCCTGCAGCTATATCTCAGTAATGGCTACTATATCAATCTCTAATCTGAATTTGTGCCTGCAGCTCATTTAATTTATTCCTTTTGCTCTGTGCATTCCGATATAGAACTCTTACTTGATCAATACACTGTAACCTGCCCCCTCAGCACTAATGCTTTATTCAACTTAGATCTTGGAAGATCTTAGAATCCCTGCAGGGTGAAAACAGGCCCTTTTGCCCAACAAGTCCATACCGACGCTCAGAGCATCCCACCCAGACCCATTCCCCTATAACACGCCTAATCTACGCACACCTGAACACTATGGGCAATTTAGCATGGACAATCCACCTAACCTGCACATCTTTGGACTGTGGGAGGAAACCAGGACTCCCGGAGAAAACCCACGCAGACACGGGGAGAATGTGCAAACTCCACACAGACAGTCACCCGATTGCGGAATTGAACCTTTTCCAGCAACTTCGTTTCTGTTCCTGAAGTGTTTAAACTTCAGTTACTGCAGACGTGTTTGTCCTTGTTCACAATGGTATCCATGAGTCCTGATGTGCTGCAGTCTTGACACATCACCTGAACTGCTGTCCTTAAATATGTTTTAATTAAATCATTCACTTACTTACGTTGTCTTCTATATATTTTATTAACTTTACCACCAACTTATATACTAAGTTAAAATTTAAGAATGGTAAAGTCCTTAATCATTTATCGGAGACTCGCCAAATAGCTAACCCCTTTCTCTATAGTCTGTGAACTACTATATGAACTACAAAAAGCTAACGTGCATGCACAGAAACTATGGAAATGAAATGTTGGTCTTTATTACAAATGAGATTGACTATAAACATGAGGTATTCTTTCTACAACCGTACAATTTGCCAGGGATACGGTGTGACCAGGTGAGGAGGAGTGAATCAGCTCTTTTATCCAAGTTTGTTGGCTGTAATGAAGCTATTTAATTCTATGTGGTTCACAGCTATGTCTCACTACAATTAAAACACAGTCACTAGATCAGAGTTATGGAGAAAATTGCAAGGTTTTCTTAATTGAAGGAAAGAGGATTTTTACCTTATTCAACCCAAGAAAAATAGTAAAGCCTTACATTAAACACAAACACAGGCATAAAGTTTAAAAAGGGCGGAGGCACTAATACAAGAAGATTAAGAATGTTTAAAAGTTCATACTCTTTGAATCCTTGTGTTGTTATATTTGAACCTAGGACTATGCTGTTTAGTCGCTATCTTGTATTCTCAGCAGTAGCAAAATTTGTACAATCATTGAGTTGAGGTTGTAGACATGCTCGCCAAGCCGGGAAGTTTGGTTGCAGACGTTTCGTTACCCTGCTAGGTAACATCGTCAGTGCGCCTCCGGTGAAACTTTGGTGTTCTGTCCCGCTTGTTATTCATATGCCTCAGTTTGCTGGGGTGATTGGTTTTACTTCCGGTTTTGTTTCTCAGTGGTTTATACACAGGGTCTAATTTAATGTGTTTGTTGATGGAGTTCCAGTTGGAATACCAGGCCTCCAGGAATTCCCTGGCGTGTCTCTGTTTTGCTTGTGCGATTATCAAAGCGTTGTCCCAGTCGAATTCATGTCCTTCATTGTCTATGTGCAGTGAGACAAGTGAGAATTGGTCATGTCTCTTGGTGACTAGTTGGTGTTCATATATCCTTATAGTCAATTTTCTTCCAGTTTGGCCTATATAGTGTTTCTCACAGTCCTTGCATGGTATTTTTTATATTACCCCAGTTTTGCTGGTTTTGGGTATGGGATCCTTTATGTTTGTCAGTAGCTGTCGCAGGGTGGTTGTTGGCTTGTGGACTACTCTGATACCTAGGGATCTGAGTATTCTTGTGGTCATCTCTGAAATGTCCTTGACGTATGGTAGGGTGATAAGTGATTCTGGTCATGTTGTGTCAGCCTATTGTTGTACCCAAAAAGCATAATCTGCCATTACCTTGGAGACAGACCACAACAGGAAGACACAACACGACCAGAATCACTTATCACCCTACAACATGACATATTCAGAAATGACCACAAGAATACTCAGATCCCTAGGCATCAGAGTAACCCACAAACCAACAATGACCCTGCGACAGCTACTGACGAATGTAAAGGATCCCATACTAAAAATCGGCAAAACTGGAGTAATATACAAAATACCATGCAAGGACTGTGAGATACATGAACACCAACTAGCCACCAAGAGATGTGACCAATTCTCATTGTCTCACTGCACATGGACAACGAGGAACACAAATTCAACTGGGACAACACTTCGATAATCACACAAGCAAAACAGAGACATGCCAGGGAATTCCTGGAGGCCTGGTATTACAACTGGAACTCCATCAACAAACACATTGAATTTTACCCTGTGTATAAACCAATAAAAAACAGAACCGGAAGTAATGCCAACCACCCTAGCAAACCACGGCATATAAATAATAAGCAGGACAGAACACTGATGCTTCACCAGAGCACACTGACGATGTTACCTAGCAAGGTGACAAAATGTCTGCAATCAAACACACCGGCTCGGTGAGCATGTCTACAACCTCATCCACAACCCAAGCTACAAATCTTCTCAAAAACTTTATTCTTGAGTTCTCAATGAATGGACATTTCTGATGTGTTATCTGTTATCATCAGTGCTGGTTTTTGCAATGCTGAGAAGGAAATGGAGATGGAAACAGATTCAGTCCTTGCCATTACCATTTTCAATCCATACAGTCCATTCATTACAATCCATTTTCTTTCTTTCTGTTGTTGCTCTTCCAAGCAGATACTGAAAATGGTTTATTTGTCTATTCCCAAGGCTGATTGTCTTTTCAACCAACATTTGCAGGCAACTTTTCGTGTCCAAAATGCTCAACTATTCATATATGTATGAATTAAAACAGAAAACGCCTGACTCAGTTGACTGATTTCAATGTACTTAAATAAAATGGTAATGTCAGTTAAGACAACCTAGTATCACATTGCATGGAAACAGATCCTTCGGTCCAACTCATCCACGTTGACCAGGTTTTCTAAACTGAACTAGTCTCATTTGCCTGCATTTGGCTCATATCCCTCTAAAGCTTTCCAATTCACGTACCCATCAAAATATCTTTTAAGTGCTGTAATTGTACTCACTTCTACCACTACCTCTGGCAGTTCATTCCATTTAGTCGCCCCCTCTGTGTGAAAAATTTACCCCTCAGGCCTCTTTTAAATCTTTACCCTCTCATCTTAAACCAATGCCCTCTAAGTATTGGCTTCCCCTACCCTGGGGAAAAGACTTTGGTTATTCACCTTATCTAGCCCGTTACAATTTTACAAACCTCTACAAGCTCACTCCTCAGTCTCTGATGCTGTAGCAAAAAGAATCCAAGTTTGCTCAACCTCTCCTTATGGCTAATATACTCCAATCCAGGCAACACCTGGTAAACCTCTTTTGCATCCTCTCCAAAGCCTCCACATCCTTCCTATAATGTGGCAACTTGAACTGTAGCAATACTCCAAATGTAGCCTAACTAAAGTCAACACAGCTGCAACTTGACGTGCCAACTTTTATGCTCAATGCCCTGACCAATGAAGGTGCTTTTTTTTTAAAACCTCCTTATCCACCTTTGTTGCCACTTTCAGGGAGCTATGGACTTGCACCCCAGGATCCATCACCCCATGTTCCGAAAAGTACTGTCATTGACTGTATACTTTCCTCTTGCATTTAACCTCCCAAAATACATCACCTCAAACTTGTCCAGATTAAATTCCTTCTGTCATTTCTCCACCATGGTCTACATCCTATTCCTCACTGTCCATAACTCCACCAATTTTTGTGTTGTCTAAAAACTTACTAATCAGATTACCTACATTTTCATCCAAATTATTTTTGTCAACATATTACAAACAGAGGTCCAGCACTCATCCTTGCAGAACACCACTGGTCACAGATCTTTATCAGAAAAACACCCCTCCACAACTATATTTTCTGATGAAGGGTCTAGGCCCGAAACGTCAGCCTTTCTGCACCTATGATGCTGCTTGGCCTGCTGTGTTCATCCAGCTCTGCACCTTGTTGCCTCCACAACTACCCCTTGTTTTCTATGATCAAGTCAATTTTGTATCCAAGTTGCCAACTCACCATGGATGCAATGACTTAATCTTCTGGACCAGCCTACCATGAGGAACCTTGTCAAATGCTTTAGTATACTCCATGTAGACAACATCCACAGCCCTACCTTCATCAATCATTTTCATTACTCCTTCAAGAAACTTAATCAAGTTTGTGTAGCAAGAGCTCTCCCGCACAACACCATGTTGACTATCCCTAATAAATCCATTCTTCTCCAAATGTGAATAAATCCTACCCCTATGAATCTTCTTCAATATTATCCCTCCCACTGATGTAAAGCTCACTAGCCTATAATTTCCTGGATTATCCCTTTTGCCATTCTTAAACAAAGGAACAACTTGGGCTGTTCTCCAGTCTTCCAAGATCTCACTTGCGACTAAAGAGAAAGATCTCTGTCAAGGTCCCAGCAATCTATCTCCTTCAGTATCTTGGAATTGATCCCATCAAGCCCTGGGAACTTATCTTCTTAATGTTTATCAAGATACCTAATACTTCCTCCTTAATCTCGACATGCTTCAGAATATCAATACACTCCTCCCTAATCCTACCAAAATCCATAAATTTCTCCTTGAGGATTACTGATGCAAAGTACACATTAAGGACCTCACCCACTTCTTCTGGCTCCACATATAAATTCCCTCCATTGTTCTTTCCCTAGCTACTGTCTTGCTCCTAATACACATATTAAGTGCCTTGGAGTACTCCTTAATACCATTTGACAAGGACATTTCATGGCCCTTTTTAGCCCTTCTAATTTCTTGTAAGTTCTTTTCTGCTTCCTTTGTTCTCCTCAAGGACCTTGTTTGATTTCACTTCCATAAATCTTACATATACTTCCTTTTTTCTTTTTGACTGAACTTCCAGCATCTCTTATCATCCAAGGTTCCCAAATCTTGCCACCCTTATCTTTTATCCTCCCAGGAATATGTCAATCCTGATTCTGATCAACTGGCTTTTATTTTCAAACAGCTGCTCTCAACCTAATTTCCCCAGTTTCTGCCTAAAATTGTTGAAATTAGCCTTCCCCCAATTTACAAGTTTCACCCAAGAACCAGTCTTATCCTTATTCATAACTATCATAAAACTTACAAATTATGATCACTATTCCCGAAATGCTCCCCCACTGAAACTTTAATTACCTGGCCAGGCTCATTCTCCAAACAAAGCATAGTATGGCACTTTCTCTAGTTGAGTTATCTACATGTAGTTTCAATAGATCCTCCTTGATGCACATAACAAATTGTCTCCTCCTGTTGGCTATTGAGAGGCCAATAATATAACTGCATCATATGATTGCACCTTTCTTATTCTTATGTTCTACCCATATGGCCTCACTGGATGAGCCCTCCAAGATGTGCTCTCTTAGTGTAGTTGTAACAACTTCCTTAATTAGTAAAGCAACTTCCCCCGCCTCTTTAACATCCCACTCTACCTTGCCTGAAACACCTAAACCATGGAATGTTGAGCTGCCAGTCCTGCCCTTCTCTCAATCAAGTTTCTGTAATGGCGACAACATCATAGCCCCATGTACTGATCCAGGCTCTAAGCTCATTGGCATTATCTGTTATACGCCGCGCATTAACACTTCAGACCACCAGTCCCACAATGTTCATTAAATTGGTCTTGCCTGTTCTTCCTATTAGACTTATTTGACTTAATTTTGACTTTCACTTAAATCACTCCACATACTGACCTACTGCTCTGGTTCCCATTCCCCGGCTATTCTATTTTAAACCCTTCAGAGTGGCACTAGCAAACCTCCCTGCAAGGATATTGGT